AAATAAAGGAAATTTATTACCTGTATATGGTACGGTAGTATGGTAGTTGTCAACACAAACCAGACAAACTGTGAATCCTACAGTATCAAGAATTTACTCATTTATTCAATGACAATCATGTCATCATCTTCTGGAACATCATCATAACAATCCAATTCTTGAATTTCCTGGTGAATTTCTTGTGACTCCATTTCTTTCAGAATCAGTGGACCAAATCTCTCATGTTTAGCCTAAGGGGGCCTTATTTTCAGGAGATGCCTTATATTTCATACAGAAGGAAACCTGTAAGTATGTCTTATTTTCGGGGAAACACGATAGCAATTTTACTGCTTTACTGATCATGTGCGCATTGTGAGACTGTTTGAATAGAACAAATTACTGCCCTCATCACCCTCTCTTCCATATGCTCACAAGTCCTGGCAAATGCATACGATTTCTTAGTTTGTTCATGTGTATCACGTTGTGCCATGCAGGGTAGCTCAGCAGTCTGTCTGCCCGGACACTATGGTCACGTGTGAATCACAGCTGTAGCAAAGGGGAGAGTTCTCCAGTAATTCAGGAGCTGTAGTAGGGAGTCACCGCGGTCCTCCATGGCACTGCAGTTGTGAACCCCTGGTTTACAGTAGCCTGCATAAGGCTTTGGCTGGCAAACCAAAACAAAAAAAACAAAAACCCAAAGCAACAGACCCCTAGGGTGGCTATACTTGTGCACCCTAAATAGGGAAATAGGATTTATTAAACATTTCCCATTGTTTAACATTTAGGTGATTATAATTATTACTGTTATATATAGCAATTAGATATAAAAAGATTGCTTTTGAATGAATACCTTTGTCCACATGTTTATTTTCTTAGGGTAGATTCCTATTGGAGGCCATCTTTTTGTTTGTTTGCTTGTTTATGTGGATCTTAAAGGACGAGTAGGGATTAGCCTTCCTATGGGGGCAGACCGGAAGGAGGAGAGCACGTGCGGAAGCATGGATTTGGGAGGGAGAGTGTCTATTCTGGGAGCTGCCCCAGTTCTACAGGAGAGAGAGCAGAGTCCCTCAGGGCTTTGGATGAGGCTCAGCCTAAGAGGAGGTGCATTTCCAGTGGCCCTTGGATATATTCTTCTGAGGAGCTTGGGGCTCATCCCTGAAGGTAGCTAGGAGCCACTGAAGTGTTAGAACCTGAGAACAAGTGGTATTCCAGGCAGGAATTCTGTGGGCTGCGTGAAAGGGAGAGTTATTTAAGCCGCAGATACTCCATGTTCTTTGATGTCAGAATGTGGCCGGGGAGGGCTTGGAACCACAGCAATGCGACTCCATGGAGCCTATGACTCAGCCCCCTTGTGAAAGGCCCTTTGCTGGGTTTGAACTGATTTCCTCAACAATGTTGGCTAGCAGCGCGCTCTGGGGTTTCCCTGGAGTCCTGTTTCCTGGCTGGAAGCTGCCGTGAGGCGCTCTGGCCTGGGAAGAGGGCGTGTCTTCACTTCCTAGCTAGTGCTGTGGGGCCCTCTGGCGGTTGCAGAGTGAGTAGCTTTTTGCGTGGTCGGCAAACTGGGGCTCGCGAGCCACATGAGGCTCTTTGGCCTCTTGAGTGTGGCTCTTGCACAAAATACCACGGCCTGGGCGAGTCCATTTTGAAGAAGTGGTGTTAGAAGAAGTTTAATTGTAAAAAATGTGGCTCTCAAAAGAAATTTCAATCGTTGTACTATTGATATTTGGCTCTTTTGACTAATGAGTTTGCCGACCACTGCCCTAGCAGAATTAGAAGCAGGAAGTCTTATCTAGAAACTCAAGGATTGGATTTGGGGCTGGGAAGTGTACCCAGCTGGGGTGAGATGGAGGCTGTAATTTAAGTTGGCACCTTGCCCTCTTCGCTCATGCCTCAGGTGGCATTTCTCAGGACTTAAACGGTGGGTAAAATAATGCTTTGTGTCTAAGATGACAAAAAATAAAAAAAATTAAGATGACATTAGGCTGAAGTAGTGTTTGGTGCTATCTGAATCAAAAATCTCAATTAAGGACTAGAGTTTAACCAGTTTTACTGGTTGGATTTTGAGTGAATTCATTCCAACAGTTTTGAGCACAGATATTCTGAAAGCCAGAGTACCTGCTTATTGGAGGAGGTACTTGCTGGGAACCAAAGGTGTTTTCTTTGAGGTCTCTATTGAACATATATAAGAAGGAAAAGGACCGAAACCGGTTTGGCTCAGTGGATAGAGAGTCGGCCTGCAGACTGAAAAGTCCCGGGTTCAATTCCGGTCAGGGGCATGTACCTTGGTTGTGGGCACATTCCCAATATGGGATGTGCAGGAGGCAGCTGATCGAGATTCTCTCTCATCGATGTTTCTAACTCTCTATCCCTCTCTCTTCCTCTCTGTAAAAAAAATCAATAAAATATATATTTTAAAAAAGAATGAAAAAGTACCCCAGGTATTACTTATTAAAAATTAAAGCCATACTTTTATAGTCTACAATGTTCTGTCTCATATGTTATCTTATTTGTTCTGTATAATCACCCCAAGAAGTATTTTAGATTTTCTCCTGTTAACCTGTCTCATTCTGAGATCACACACTGGCATGTAGTAGATGAGGACCAGAATCCAGGCTTGCTAAGATTAGGGGGAGAAGGCTCTGTGGTGTGGTGAGAGGCCAGGAAAGAGGTGACTTCAGGAGGCATGCATGGGTGCAGTCCACTGTTGGCAGTGCTGTGCACTGAGGACTTTGAGGGTGGCGACCAGGCTATTGGATTTGCTAATATGGTTAGGACTTGTGTGACGCCATGGGGAGGAGAAAGCAGCCCAACTGCAAGGAATTGAGGTTTGTAGTGAGGAAAGGAGGACAGGGTGAGCTAGCATTTCTGAAGCAACCTCTGCTGCCCAGTGGTATTAATTTATACCTTACTCATCTCCCACCTTTGGGTTTCTCCCTCTGCCAGGTCATCTCTTTGTGGGCTAGCTTTATAACGTTCCTGGATCCTTGGCTTTGTTTTGCATATATATATATATATATATATATATATATATATATATATATATATATGTTGATTTTAAAGAGGAAAGGAGAGGGAGAGATAGAAACATCAATGAGACAGAATCAGTGATCAGCTGCCTCCTGCATGTGCCTCCCTCTTCCCCCCACACTGGGGACTGAGCCCGAAACACAGGCATATGCCCCTGGCCAGAAATGAACCCGGGACCCTTCAGTCCACAGGCCGATGCTCTATCCACTGAGCCAAAAACAGTCAGGACTGTTTTGCATTCTTATTTTATTTAAAAAAATATATTTTATTGATTTTGGAGAGGAAGGGAGAGGGAGATATAGAAACAATGATGAGAATCATTGGTTGGCTGCCTCCTGCACACCCCCTCCTGGGGATTAAGCTCTTGGCCGGAATCCAACCTGGGACCCTTCAGTCTGCAGGCTCTATTCATTGAGCCAAACCTGCTAGGGCTTATTTTATTAAAAAAAATTTTTTTTAATTGATTTGTAGAGAGAGAAGAAGGGAGAGGGAGAGAAGGAAACATCGATGTAAGAGTTAAACATTAATCGGTTGCCTCCTACCCTACTGGGGATTGAGATGCAACTGGGGCATGTACCCTGACTGGGAATAGAACCGTGCCCTCCTGGTTCATAGGTCCACACTCAACCACTGAGCCACAGGTCATGTTTAATGATAAGGTTACAACTAAGTCGCTGTGAGGATAAAATATGAATATGGTGACAGGAACCCTTCTCTCTGCTTTGGTTGCGGTCTCAGTAGAGAGAAGTGGATGAGGGCTGGGATTACCTGTTCATACAGGTGCTCCAATTCATCAGAGCCCAGTTCCCAGCCAGTGCAGACTTGCTTTCCCTCCCAGAGTTTTCTTTCTTGACTGTGGTCATCCAAGAGAGCGCTCGGTGATGACTGGGGAGGTTGAGGGGATTAGGGAAAGCAGAGAAACAAAGCTTGATTTATCGCAGCTGCTGCGTGGGTGTAGTCCTCCCCATCTCTCTGTTCCAATTCCCAACACACCTCTCACCAGGTTCACGGCCAGTACAATAGGGTCATTGTGAGGTGGGCGGGTGGTGAGTCACCAGGTCTTGCCGAGGTGAGGTGGGCGGGAGATCTCCTCAGCCATCACTGGGGCTGGGCCTAGAGCTGCTGGTGCAATGCCCAGCTGCATGGTCCTTTATATATTTGCATGACTAGGTTTCATTTATAAATTCTCTATTGGCTTCTTTTTCTCTCTTCCTCTACTCCTGTTCTTGTTTTATGTATCCTATTTCTTGCTGTATTTACCTGAACATTTTAAAGATACATCCAAGTCCATTGCAGATTGCTCTCTTGTTACCTGGGTGCAGTGTCCCACCTGTTGCATATACTGATGGTCCCTCATGAGAGGTGTAATGTTTGTCTGTGAGACCATCTTATTTTAAAATTCATTTTTATTGTTGAAAGTATCACAGATGTCCGCTTGGGTTTTTTCCCCCATGAGCCTCTTCTCCGTCCCCATCCTGGCCCCTCCTAAAGCCTTTGCCACACTATTGTCTGTGTCCATTCAATCCTCCTTCCCTCCATTGAGAAAGTAAGCTCCATGAAGGCGAGACCTTGTCTGTCTTGCTGACTGTATCCCCAGAGCTATGTCAATGCCTGTAGTAGGGGTAGATAGTTAATGAGTGAGTGATGACAAGTGACTTCTCTCCATTGGTCTGAGTAATTTAGAGGTGGTTCCGGTTGGTGTCCTTAGTCATATTATGAATATACCCGAGATGCATTTCTACTATTCACTGTGCTGTTTCCAGTAACTGCTTTAGTCAATTCAATTTACATTCCTCCCACGCTTCCCCCTCCCTTACACAAACTTACTCTTCAGTGTGTGTTTTAAAAAATATGTTTTATTACTACCAGCAGGATCGGCCTGCATGGGGGGGCAGGGACGCTGGGCTCAGGCGTGTGTGGTTTGTGAGAAAAGGATGATGACGGGGAAGCCGGAAGGAAAGGGGCTGGGGCTGGAGGCCAGCTCCAAGGGTTCTTCAGACAAACTTCTGGGAACGCTTAAAGGTATCGTGGCAAGCTACCGCCAAGCCGCCGATGAGATTAAGAAATTCTTGGAAATCCAGCTGCCCATCGGCGTTGAGGTCCAACTTCTTCATCATGCGGTCAAGGACACCGGGGTCCTTCTGGTTCTGCAGAGGCAATAATAACAGTAATATTCATGGTATCTTTAGGAATAGCTCAAGATAGCATAGAAGCCTTAACTGCTTTAAATGGATTCTGTACATATATACGGGGGTTCCCAAAGTATCCAAAAACACTTTCAAATGCGTTGCCAACATTTTATTCTTGCAAGAGTAGGGGCTCTCGTATTCCCACTCCCCAGACACGGAATCAGAGGTACTGTGACCTGGCTAAGGGGAAGACCTGAGACCTGAACCCAGGTTTTCTGGCTTCTAGTCCAGGGTACTTCATGTGACAATTAGGGGTTATTCAATTTTATAAAAACAGCAGAACATTTTTTTCCCCATGTGTTCCATGCAACTCCAATATACAAACTCTATAAAAGTAGAGTGATTTGAAGTGATAAACAGGATGGCCTGTTTATTAGCCTTATCTCCCTCTCATCCGACCCCCCAACACATGCACACACTTACAGCCACTGGTTCTACATGGCTACTTAAGTGAACTACATTAGAAAGTCAACAGGCACAGGTGGCCAGTGGCTACCATATCAGATAGTGCTGATATAAAATTAAAAAAGAAAAATCATTGGAGAAGGGTCCATTGGACAGGACTGCCCTAGAGGCTTTGGGATAGAGGAATAAAATTAGAAATCTTTTCTATGAGGCCATTTACCATTTTGTAAGCTCTTTTTCCTAAGTCAGTGGTCGGCAAACTCATTAGTCCACAGAGCCAAATATCAATAGTACAGTGATTGAAATTTCTTTTGAGAGCCACATTTTTTAAACTTCAACTTTTTCTAACGCCACTTTTTCCAAATAGACTCGCCCAGGCCGTGGTATTTTGTGCAAGAGCCACCCTCAAGGGGCCAAAGAGCCACATGTGGCTTGCGAGCTGCAGTTTGCCGACCACTGCCCTAAATGGTAGGGAAGTGCTCCCTCTGTCAGGTAATTTGATAACTTTGATCTTGAAAACACATCTTATTCAAAGGAAAAGAGAGAGCAGAACCTTGACTAGTCATTCAGAGCTCAGGCTGAGACCTCAGAGCTCAAGCTAGGCTGCTATGTGGACCCCCAGCTTGGAGTGAATGAAAAGGAGGCAGGAGTGTGGGGCGGGGGCTAACTGGATCTTCCTTCCTGGCCAGTCTGCAGTCTTGTTTCCTGCTCTGGGTAGCCTGGGGGGTGAGGGCTGGGACCTGTACCTTTGTGAAGGCAGCCAGTTCCGTTTTCATGAAGGTGAGGAACTCCGTCTTGGAGAGGGTGAAGCTGTTACTGTCCTTCCCGGCGTACCTCTGGAAGACGGCAATCAGCGACTCGATGCACCGCTCGGTCTCTGTAGGGCTGGCCATTTTTGTCTTGGGAGAGAGAGAGAAAAAAAATCAGGGCTTAGACGAGGGCAATGCATCAAGGAATGAAAGTTGGAGAACACTCCAGAGAATCTCATCTCTTCATTTTGGGTCAAAGCAGATCCTAAAGGACCGGGTCGTTTTTTAGGGGGCTGAGGGGCCTAAGACAAGCACAGAAAGTTACATCCTGTAAGCTCCCCCCAACCAACACACACATCATGTCATGGTTATTCCAGGTGAAATACAGTGAGAGGAAGTATGGAGCATGTGGGTAAGCATGAAAGCAGTAGGCTGCCAAGATGAGAGGAAGGGTGACAGGGTCTACTGGTACCTTTGGAGCACGTGGGTAAATATATATATTTATTTATATACAAATTCATGTGCATCTCAAGCATTGTGTACAGCTTTAAACATGTCCTGTTTTCCAGTCTACTGGGATGAATGGAATGGCAGTTCTTTGTAAAGCAATACTGAATTCCTGGGACGCATGCATTTCTAGTTGAAAACTAAAAGCTATTATTGTGTGTGGGGTGAGAGATCTGAGAATTTTTTGGATGTTCAAAAGCATCTTTCATATTTTATTTTATTTATTATTACTTTTTTAAAATCCTTACCCCATGATATGATTAGAGAGAGGAAGGTTGGGGAGGGGGGCAGGAAAGGGGGAGGGAAATAGAAGAAGAAACATTAATTGGTTGCCTTCTATATGTGCCCCGACTGGGGAATGAACCACAACCCAGACTTGTGCCCTGACTGGGAATCCAACTGGCATCCTTGTGGGGCACAAAAGATGCTCAACCAACTGAGCCACGCCGGCTGGGCAGCAACTGTGTCTTTTACACGTGAGGAAATGGAGGCATGAGAAGGGCATAGCACAGTCATCCCTGGAATCTTGTCCTCCAGATCTCTTTCTGCATCTCTCAGCCTTTGCTCCTGCTACTTCCAAATGTCATGAATTCCCACAGGAATGTCGGGTAGAACTTCTCTGGCTACTTCAAACCAGGAAGGTTGACATGGAGCTCTCAGATGGCTGCTCACACAGACCCCAGGCCTTCTACAGAGCTGAACCACGGCTGAGGTTGCAGATTCAAAGCCTGTGCTGGGCTCTGCTTTCCCTTAAAGAGCAATCTTCAAATACACTCTGTCCTGCTGAGTGTGCCCATCATGCTAGTGGGCACCTCAGGGCCCCAGAAGTGAGGAACTGCTGAGCTCCCCCTAGTGGATAAGAGCAGCAACTGCAGACTTCCTGGAACACTGGCGGGACCACACCCTTCCTCTGAGGCTTTCACCAGCCTCTACGTGTGGACGGTGACTTTCCCTGAGTTGTACTTCCTGGAGCCCAGAGGTGGAGACTTTCCGGCCCCATAATGAGCTAGAGATGGTTCAGAGCCCTGAGGCTGCGGTGGCTGAGGTCTCCCTCCCTCCTTCCTGTAGGCTTTCCCCTCCACAGTCTGTCTATTGGGAAGTGCTTTACCGCCCAGCCAGGTGCCTGCTGCCCACTGGTCTGGGAGAATCTATGAAGCCCTTCCAAAGGCGAGTTCTAAAGCCCTTCCAGAGTGGACTCTTTCCCAACAGTCACACTTTTTCTTAAGGAGAGAAAAGTGTTGGAAGGTTCAGGGTTTGGGGGAGAAACACAATAGCATAACCTAGAAACATGTGTTTGCCCAACAGCTTTTCTTACCAGGACTCCTAGTAAAACAAACGCACTGTCGAATGTGTCAGATGACCAGAACAAGACCGGCTAGGAGGGTGTGCCAGATGGAGTAGAAGGTTCCAGACCAAGGGGCAAGGGACTGGTGACCTTTTTATAGGCCCACAGAGGCTCCCTCTGCCCCGTTTCTGATTGCGTTTCTGGTGGAATTCTGATTGCGTTGCTTTTCCAGTTTTTAAAGTGACTTCTGCTTTACCTCCCCCCCCCCCCCGTCCCTCCCCTTAACACTGTTCTTGACTGCAAAAATTTAGACTATTTTTGTCCTCTTGAAAACTTGCTATCAGCCACAGGGAGAAACCTCGTTTCTCTTCAGGGGGTAATTTTCCAGAGCAAAGGCAAGCAACACCACGATCACATTACTGACCATTACTGACGTGGAATTGTGAAATCTGTGGAGCTGGAGGGGAGTCGGGAGACAGTGCTCAGGGTGGGGCGGTTGCTGGAAGGGAGGAGAGCAGGTCTCCTGCCCAGAGGCCAACACTCCACACAGCTCATGGCATCCTCAGAATCGTATTTGGTGGGAACTATGACAGGGGCAGAATTTTAACAATGCAAACAGAACCCTCAACATTTGAAACAACAACAACAAAAAAGGGAATGTGAAGAAGTAACATTTGAAAGAAGACTCAAGTACTGAAGTTCTCATTCTTAACCAACACCCCCCCCCCCCTTTCCTTCCGAGGACCCCCCGGGGACACCCCCCTTTCCTCCTCCAGGGCATCAGGCCAGGTTTCCCCTCCTGCTGGTGCTGGCTCTGCCTCTCCAGGTTCCCATGGGACTTCTGTCCGTGGTTGCATGGGAAGGAGAAGAGGAAAGGAGTAGGTGGGGTCCCAGATTGACACCCTGGAGCAGGGGTTGGCCAACGTGCTTTGTACACGGCCGGATGATGGTAAGTATCAGGGCTCCTGACTCCGCTTTGGTAACGGACCAGCAACCACCCGGACAACTCCTAATGCATGGGCGTGGCCACGCGCCAAAAAACCCATTTAATTTGTGGATGCTGACGTTGGATATTCATATACTTTTCACGTATCACCAAGTATTATTCTTCCTTTGATTTTTTTTTTCTTTCAACCATTTAAAAAGGTAAAGTCTACTGGTAGCTGGCGACGGGAACAGAAACCCCATTTGGTCCCCGGGGGGAAGTTTGCCCACCTCCCTGCACCAAAGAGAAGGCAGGTTCTGGAGGTGGCTTCATTGCACAGGTAGAGGAGTCAAGGATTCAAGGTGGGGGTGGCAGGAGCTAAGGGGGCACACAGGCGGCGGAGTGAGTGCCTAAAAGAAGGCGGAGGGAGGAAAAAAGAAGGAAGGGAGGGGCTTAGCTGGGCAGGGCTCCTTCCACATTCTTGGCTGAGGTTCCGCTCCGGGGACGGGCTTGCTTCCCGTCTCTGTCCTGGCCCTTTGCCTGGAGTGACCGAAACTTGGATTTTCGCAGGGTTCCGACGGCAGTTCTGAAACGGGCCCTTCCTGGTCCCCAGGAACAGCCACTCACGGAACCCCACCCCGGTCTGCGATGTGGCTCCCGAGGGCCGCAGCCCCAGCAGGATCCCCGCCCCTCCCCGCCGGTGGGACCCGAGCAGCCGCCGCCCGGCTGGCCGTGCATCCCCACCCCTCAGCCCGAGCCCCGTCTTCCCCCGGAGAACAAAGCATCTGGGGGGCCAGCCCCGGGCTGTGACTCCGGGCAGACCGTTAGGGCTGTCCCCCTTCCGTCCTCTCTCCTCGGCTCCCTGCCACGTCCACACAGAACCCACAGACCGAGCCCGGGGGGAAGGATGCCGTGGCTTTTTTTCCTTTTGATTTCAGAGGAAGAGACATAAAAGCGTCGGGCTTACCTGGTCGGAGCGGAGCGAGGGCAGCGGCTGTGAGCGGGGAGCGGGAGGCGAGCTCTGGGCTGGGGCCCCGGGTCCAGCCCCGTCCCCGCCGGTCCCCGCCCCGAGCGGCCTGACTCACTGCGCCCGCCCCGCCCCGGCCCCCGCCCCGCCGTGCAGATCCGTACTTGTCCGCCCCACGCACACAGGAAGCCCTTCTGAGCCTCCCACAAGCTCGCTCTCTGCTTGCCCTGTGATCCTTGGGATTTTTTCACTTTTTTTGCATTAGAAGCTGTACCGGCCATGTCCGTGGGAGGGTCTTTTCCTCCTGCTCCTCCAGGCCGGGTGCCCAGAAAGACCCCGGTGAAATCAGGCGGCACGGGCTGTGGCCCGCTTTGCAGAGCAGAAGCTCCCTGGAAGCGGGGCCTCCGAGGACCGTTAGCAGAGCGGGGATGCGTGCCCAGTGGAGCACCTCGCTCTTCAGCTTCTCTTCAAACTGGTAGCCGTTTAACAATCACAAACTTCAAACCCCACACAAACGGACCCAGCCCCAAGGCCCGTGTTTGAGTGCCCGCCCTCTCTTTCATTAGAGAAGCTGTTTCCTAATTCTGAGCTGTGGTTTTTCTCAAGAGTAAATTGGGGATGATAATTAAGGAGATCATAAACACAAAAGGGCCCTTTACATGGCGAGTGTCACAGTGCGCGAATGATTACCTGTGGCATTGCTGGGGGTTCCGCGAAATGTGCCTTGTACCCTGTGCTCAGCTGATGCTGGGTGTCAGGAGCCCTCTAACCGGCAGTTCGCAACCTTCCTAATACTGGGACCCTTTAATACAGCTCCTCCTGTGGAGGTGACCCCCGACCATAACATTATTTTCGTTGCTACTTCATAACTGTACTTTTGCTGCTGTTATGAATCGTAATGTAATTATCTGCGTTTTCCGATGGTCTTAGGCTCTACAGCAGCAGTTGAGATTGAGAACTGCTAGCAGGGTTGCCCAAGACCATCGGAAAACACAGATATTTACATTACGATTCATAACAGCAGCAAAATTACAGTTATGAAGTAACAACGAAAATAATGTTATGGTTGGCGGTCACCACCACAGGAGGAGCGGTATTAAAGGGTCAAGGCATTAGGAAGGTTGAGAACCACTGCAAGCCCTTCCCTCCTCTCACTTCCCGTTGCCTCTGTCCTCGCAGCCGCCCTCATTCCTTCCCTCACCTTTGAGATGGCATCTTCCGAGCAGCCAGAGTCCCTGGGCAAGCAGGTTGGGGCTGTTTCCACTGTTGGCTCTCCTCCACTGTCTGCCCAATTTATTTATTTGTTTGTTTTGGAAATGTGTATTTATTGATTTGAAAGAGAGAAAGGAAGTGGGGGTAGAGAGAGATACATCGACTTGTTGCTCCACTCACTTATGCATTCATTGTTTGCTTCTTGTATGTGTCCTGACTGGGGATCAAACCTGCAACCTACATGAGCTGGACAGTGCTCTAACCACTGATCCACCCAGCCAGGACCACACTTAGTTTTCTCTATGTTCTCCCAGATACCTTTCCGCCGATGGTTGGGAAAAAGTCAAGTCCTCCTCAGAGTTGTTTTCCGGTCCTCAACTGTTGTTTCGCAGTTGAGACATTTTCTCTTTCCCAATGAGCCACAGGAAATTATCACATGGCACGTTACATTTCCACTCCCGAAAGGCCACACACTCTCAGATCCGTGTCCAATCTGTTGTGATCCGAATGTGTCGACAAAATATTCTGGGTGGCTTTGTATTGCTTAATCTTCGTCTAAATTCTTCATCTTGGAATTCAAGGTCCTTGTGGTGTGATCCCAGCTGATTTTCTCATGATCTCCCTTCATTCTCTGTGAACAGGGTCACGTGGAACTTGTCACTGTTGCCTGTCAGCAGGGTTGACCTGTTAGCCAGTTCCCAATGGAAAGGCCACAGTAGTTGTGAAAATATTGAAATTCTTCTTAGCCAGTTGCTGAGTGGCCTCTCTTCTTGCCTGAATCCCAAGTGCCATCAGTAAGAAGCCTTAGCCAGCCCTGCCCTCTCCTGAGCAATGAACCCCCACAGCCAAGTAACGAGGGTCAGTTAATGCGTGGTGTGGTGAGGGCCTCTTGGACTTGCTGCATCCATGCAGCCAGGCCACTATTCTGAGTGGTCAGTGCTAGGTCATGTTTTGAATATCTTCCAGCCTCTAAGAGCCCCACAATTTCCCACCTATTTTTTTTTTTATAGTCCTCCCCCGAGGATAGGTATTTTTTTTAAATTAAATCTTTGTTGTTGAAAGTATTACATATGTATTACCTATGCCCCCCTCTCGTCCCATTGACCCCCTTCTAGCCCCGCTCCTGCCTCCCCCCACCCCCCAGGCCTTCACCACCCTATTGTCTGTGTCTATGGGTTATGCATATATGCATACAAGTTTTTTGGTTGCTCAATCCCTACCTACCTACCCTCTCCCGCCTTCCCTCTGAGATTCCGCAGTCTGTTCCACGCTTCTGTGTCTCTGGATCTATTTTGTTCATCAGTTTATTTTGTTCATTTAGGTTCTACATATGAGTGAGATCACGTGATACTTGTCTTTCTTCGACTGGCTTATTTCGCTTAGCATACATAATACGCTGCTGTTCCATACTGTCTCAAAGAGTAAGAGATTGTTCTTTTTCACAGCTGCATAGTATTCCATGGTGTAACTCTACAGAGCCAGGGAGTCCTTATAGTTTGGCATGTGAGGAAGAGCTCGTTGGATTTGTTTTTAACAAGTGGGAAAGTCACATTCGTTTCACCAAACAGGCCTCTTTGCACAAAATCAGCTTAACGGTGTACCATATATTTATCAAAATGCCATGAATGAATTAGTCTTCACTCTTTTTCCTATTTATGCAGAAGTTGGCTTTAGGCCCACAAGTTGCAACCCCAAATGTATGGGTCCAATGGACCCATGGTGGATATTGGCCATGTTTCCCTGCTTGAACCACAGACTGTGGGATGGACTCTTATCACAGTGTTTACACAACATTCAGCAGTGCTCTTGGTAGGAAGTTCCATTACCCTTCCCCCATCAAACAAGACATTATTGTAGCAGTAACTCCTGCTTTGATCCCTCTGGGTTTTTATTATTTTAAGGTGTGGGGGGTGTTTCTCTCTTTTCTGAGTCCCGCACAGAAAAGGAAAACAGGTCAGGTTCCTGAGTGGAGGAGCTGGGAATTAAGAAATTAAAGAAAGAAAAATAGAAATAAGTCGCAGAAACAAATTTAAAAGCTGGGAGCTGGGTGGGATGCCATCCTCTCTGATGAAGAGGCAGGACAATGACCACCCCTCCCAGCGCATTTATTTTATACCCCCGAATACCAGGAAGTAACACCAAAACTTAGGATCAAAGGAGCTTATTTGCATTCTTAAGTAGTCCCTAGCATTCCTGTTGCTTGTCTGGATTTACATATCTAGACCTGTCCCAGCCAATGCCTGGGCTGATATGAAGTCAGAACTGATAACATGTCCGGTCTTATTGGGAATGCATGATCCCAGGGCGTGGCTCTGCCTATCGC